AACCAAGCAAAGCTGAGATCACCTCTAGTAGTTCGTGCCAACCCTGTAGTCTAGCTCACTGCCGTTGTAGAGTGAATCTCCGCAGACTTCACGTGGGCGAGTGCCGCAGTGTCAGCAGTGGCAAAGACCGAGTCGTCGACGTACACGAGGATGTAGAACGGCGGTTGTGAGGTGTCGGTGCGTAGAAACAGCGACGGATCAGCAGTAGAAGGCGCGAACCCAAGAGCCGCAAGTGTAGTCCTCAGTGGGTCGTGCCACGCACGTGGCGCCTGGCGGAGACCGTAGACTGGCCGTCGGAGGCTCCACTGGGTACCAGGAGGGAACGACCCAGTGAAGCCAGGTGGGCGGCGCAGCCAGATCTCCTCGTGCAGGCTGCCCTGTAGGAAAGCAGTGCTGAAGTCAAGAGAGTGGAGCTCGTAGTCATGCTGAGGGGCGACGTGCAGCAGAACCCGAAGAGTGGTCACCTTCGGGGTCGGGGAGAAAGTCTGGAAGAAGTCAACTCCCTCTTGCTGACTGAAGCCTCGTGCAACGTAACGCGCCTTGAAGACAGGCAGAGAACCCGGCGGCCGCTTCACCCTGAAAATCCACATGCCACTGACGATGTTCGCCCCAGGCGGGGGAACCTCGTCGACATAGGTGCCTGTGGACTTCTAGGAAGCCATCTCTGTGTTCATGGCTATTTGCCACTGAGAGGAGTAGGGACCGGCCATCGCCTCTGCGTAAGAGCGTGGGGTCGGGATGTCTGGTGCATCCGGGTCTCCCTCAAGGGCAACATGCATGGACACGAGATGGGGCAAAGCGGCAGCAAAGCACTCAAACTCCTCCTGCCTGTCCTCAAGGACGTCAGTGCGAAAAAGCACACTCACCCCCGACGGACGGAGAACAGACAGACTCAGACTCAGCAACTAGGCTAGCGGCGTAGTCTAGACGACAGGTGGCAACAAAGTCGACAAGCTCAGCAACTAAGGCAGTCGCAGCAGCGGACTCAAAGGAAGGGTCAGTGACAGCAGTAGCCAGGAGACGCGTGACAGTAGGACTGGCAGCACAAAGGGAGTCTGACTCCGGGTCAGCAAGAGCAGGAAGAGAGGACACAGGAGGAGACGGCAGTGGGACACGCTGTGGAGCAGTAGAAGGACGAAGCGCCATCCGGTGAGTGCCAAGGACAGCAGGAAGACGCTGACGCGGGACGCGACTACCAGTGAGAGCAGCACGGACAGGCGACGCACGACGAGACTCAGGCTCACGACGCTCAGTAAGACCTCCAGTCGGACCAGTCTAAGGAGCAAGACCAGGGAGAGAGGAGGGAGACGGTAGCTGCGACTGCAGCTGGACAGACAGAGGACACCCTAAGGAGGGAGGAGGACAAGGAGGAGGAAGCTGACCAAGAACCTGCTGAAGGAGCGGAATGAAGTACGGCCGCGGCCGTGCAGCGACTCCAGAACCAGCAGAGACACCAGCGCCAGGGTCCTCAGCACCAGCAGCAGCTCCAACTCCCGGGTCCTCAGCACCAGCAGCAGCTCCAACGCCCGAATCCACAGCACCAGCAGCAGCACCAGCGCCAGGGTCCTTAGCACGAGCAGCAGCTCCAACGCCCGGGTCCGCAGCACCAGCAGGAGCTCCAACGCCCAAGTCCTCAGCACCTGCAGCAGCTCCAACGCCCGGGTCCTCAGCACCAGCAGCAGCTCCAACGCCCGCGTCCTCAGCACCAGCGCCCGGGTCCTCAGCACCAGCCGTAGCTCCAACGCCCGGGTCCGCAGCACCAGAAGCAGCTCCAACCTCTGGAGCCGCAGCACCAGCAGCACCAGTAGAGTCTCCAGCACCAGCAACACCACCAGCAGCAGCGGGGTCCGCGACACCAGGTGCGCCACTCCGTAGAGCACAGCATCGCTCGTACCACTCACGGATCCACTCACGGGAGGGGAGCTCCCGACTAGGAGGAGAAGCACAAACACCAGTCCCAGTAGTACGCCCGGCTCCAGAGGTACCTCTCCTGAGGCTGCAGTACTGTTAGTACCACTCACGCAGCTGCTCCGAGGAGAGGGCTCCTCCAGGTGTAGGACTCCCAGGCTCAGCACCTCCAGACTCAGAACCCCCAGACTTCGGACTCTGCGGCTCAGCACCCCCAGGCTCAGCACCCCCAGGCTCAGTACCCCCAGGCTCAGCACCCCCAGGCCCCGCACCCCCAAGCTCCGCACCCCCAGGCTCAGCACCCCCAGGCTCCGCACCCCCAGGCTCCGCACCCCTAGGCTCCGCACCCGCAGCAGGACAAGAGTCGACAGCTACGTCAATAGGCTCAACCGGGTCTACCTGAGACACACCTGAGGGAGCGACACCCTGAGGGGGGAGGGGGTCTACGACAGCAGCACCTGGCGCGAGGAAGAGAGGCGGGGGGGGGGAGCGGGGCAGTGCGGTAGGGGAAGAGGCGGTAGTAGGGGACGGACTCGTCAAAACCCTGACCACTCCTCTCCTCACTCCTCTCCACACGTCCATGTGGAGCGTCTGCAAGGGAGCAGTCGTCGGGGGAAACGAGGAGGAATGAGGAGCGGCGCGTTGCCGCCCCTCGACACAGGGAAGACACGGAGGAGCAGGTGAGGGAGGGAGGGGAGTAAGGACCCTAGGAAGGCTAGAGACAAGGTATCGGGAGTGCATGGCACGAAGCCGCTGCACAGACGGGTGGCCAAGGCGGTGGTGCCAGAGAGCGACACGAGCAGGGGGCCGACAGCTGACCTGACGCGGACGCAGACGCAGCGACTTGAGGGGACTCAGTGGTCAGTGTGTACAGGTCCGACCCCGGCTGCCAAGTGAAGGTAGCCAAGTGACGGCCCGTACGAGCACACGTGCAGTGTGTCGCTCGCTCGTAGGCAGGGGTGAACTGGTGAACACCCCCGTCCTGGAGAGCACATCCTGCCACCAGGTTCGTAGAGAACGAGGGGAGGTGGAGACCTGACAGTGTGCCCGACGGGACTGCAGGATAGGGGAGGATAGTGGAGGAGGTCGCAATGACCGGACCCCCAGAGGGGTCAGCGAGGGAGACAGCAACTGGCCGAGCAAGCGGCTCAAGGGCAGTGCGGTCACGAAAGAAGCAGCGAGAAGCACCTGAGTCCAGTGTGAAGGTGTGCAGTGCTGCAGTCGACTCAGTACCAGGGGGGGGCAGACGCACAAGCACCTAGAGCAGCTGCCTCACCAGCACCTGGGGTAGCAGAGACGCGAGTACCTGGAGCGGCAGACGCACTAGTCCTAATGCCCGGGTCGGGCGGCACACACAGGTACTCAGCACCCTCTCCACTAGTAGGCATCACATACATAGCAGTGAGAATAGCATCAAAATCTAGAGCATAGATATCAATCCCCTTCTACAATTTATCGATCTACACCACAAGCCACGCACCACACCTTCCGTTCTCAAATCCCATCGCTGACATGGCAGGATCCTAGCCGCAGAGAAAGGCCGTCAGTATTTCCTTTCACCGGAACATCGACCAGGTACATCCATCCAACCGTCACTCCTCCACAGCTATTTCCTTGAGTGAGGTGAGGCGAGGTGCAGGGCTGTCGATTCAAGGGCATTTGCCCTTAATGCCTTGAACATTCCGGGTTATGTTCGGGGCAGCTCGACCATTTTAAGGGTTCGATTTGACTGGCACCCGTGCCAGTTAAGGGCATCGTTTGGCCCTTCCCCGGACGCGTTAAGTGCTCAATCTGGGCCATCCCCTGAATCTAATTTCTACTTTCGATTCTGCAGACCCCCCCCCCCCCAAAATCTTGCGAAACATCCCCCCTCCCCTTACCCCCCCTTTCCATGAAAGTTGCACAATAGGGCGCCAGGTGGAGGATGTTTCACTCGATTCTATCCAATCTAGTGTGTGTAGTGTCGAAGTCAGTAGATGATTCGAAATGCAGTAGGCAGTGCAGCTATAGTTGTAGTTGGAAATTGTGACATACAGGTTGACTGGAGTAGTTAGTAATGAAAAGTATGTGATTTTCTTGTCTAGGACGTTGTTTGGGTTGGTTAAGTACACAACACTTTGGAGCCCGGATTTCAAGTTTACACTTCGGCCTGCACCCGCGACCGCCCGCGTCTCATATTTCCGCCCCCCCAACCAAGTGTAATATGGTTGAAATCGGGTAACCAGTTTTAGGTCGCCCGACGACCACTGTTGGTGGGCACAGGTTTGGGGTCAGGTTGGGAAAGAGACTCGAGAGGAAAAGGTTGTCGTACGTGCCAGCCCCAGCAATTGAACGTGCACCACCCCAAGGTGTGGAAATGCACATGACGACTCAAAATGCTAAGTGCATGATTCGATCGTGCGACACAACCACCCTGTGCGATTTTCCAGCACCAGGGGGAACAAACATATTACAACAGCTCGAGGAAATTAGAGACGCAGTTTCGAACAGCAAACAAGCGGAGGCACTCACGCAGCCTAACAAGCATATTACACTAGATATAGACAGCAGAAAACGTCCACGCGACCCTATAATATGGCGCAGCAATGCCGCCACCAACAGGACCGTCGTATCACCAACATTTAGAGCGAGAACCAGCATTGAAGCTCATGCGCGGCGAGTGCTAACGGACCATATCCGTAACGTGCGGACCCACCACCATAAAGCTTTACGGTTAGGAACTCGACGAGGCGACGCGAGGCATTTTCCTTCGCCACCATCTACGAGTGTGTGCTACTCGTCAGGACGGTGAGCACGAGCTGCTAATTACGGTAGCTCCGCAAAAACGAAGATATCGACCGCGTCAGTCAAATGCCACGGCATAATCAAAGCTCTCGACCTGTTTAGGGTTGCTTCTGGTATAGGGCAAATCACTGGATGTCTTGAGAAGAGCAGCCAAAGCGCGAATAGCCTCATTGCTGGCTCATGCGATTGTTTAGCATGTAGCCCCAATAAAACGCGGCGTCGTTCCGCAGCTCGCATTGGGGGCGAGGCTGTAATCTTGCACCAGTAAATTTCGCGCCCCGCCTCAACGCGTGAAGTGCGCAGCAGCCATGACACCGCCGACTGGGGCAAAGCAGGCGGGAGGCGCGCCTCTGCCTGACTGCCCCGCTACCCCCCTACTCACCCTATCACGACGGCTCCTCCTCTCCCCCCGCACTTCCCGTGCATGCAACTCCCAGGGCATGACTGGTGGCGCACTCAGCAGGCGGGAGGCGCGCGTCTGCCTGACTGCCGCGCTCCCCCCCTTCTCTTCCGTTCACCCCAATCCCGCTTCCCCCCATCTTCCCCCGCATGCGCCTCCCAGGTGTGGTCTGGTGGCGCACTCAGCAGGCGGGAGGCGCGCCTCTGCCTGACTGCCGCGCTCCCCCCCTTCTCTTCCTATCACCCCAATCCCGCTTCCCCCCATCTTCCCCCGCATGCGCCTCCCAGGTGTGGTCTGGTGGCGCACTCAGCAGGCGGGAGGTGTGCCTCCCCCTGTTTGCGGCGCTCCCCCCCTTCTCTTCCTATCACCCCAACCCCTGCCTGACTGCCCCGCTAGATCCCCCTTCTCTTCCTGTCACCCCAACCCCTCTCCCCCCGCCTATCCCCTACATGCGGCCCCCAGGTGTGGTCTGGTGGCGCACTCAGCAGGCGGGAGGCGCGCCTTTGCCTGTCTGCCGCACTCCCCCCCTTCTCTTCCTATCACCCCAATCCCGCTTCCCCCCATCTTCCCCCGCATGCGCCTCTCAGGGCAGGTCTGGTGCCGCACTCAGCAGGTGGGAGGCGCGCCTCTGCCTGACTGCCCCGCTAGATCCCCCTTCTCATCCTATCACCCCAACCCCGCTTCCCCCGCCTATCCCCCGCATGCGGCCCCCACGTGTGGTCTGGTGGCGCACTCAGCAGGTGGGAGGTGCGCCTCTGCCTGACTGCCGCGCTCCCCTCCTTCTCTACCTATCACCCCAATCCCGCAGGTCCCCCTCCCCGTGCACCCTCCCCCCTCTCTCCCCAGCTCACCCTCCCTTTCGAGGTGGCTCCCATATGACGCTCGTGGCACACTCTGCAGACGGGTACGTGGAATGCCTCTTCTAGACTAAGTACCCGCCGCTACTCCCTCTCCCCGTGCCCCAAACCCTGAAACTTCCTGCTGACTCCCCATCTGCGGCGTCACATACCATCGAGTGCCCTCCCAGGAGCTTGGTTGCACAACCTCAAGCATGGCTAGCAGCAGCAACAGTGCGAGAGACGATTTGAAGAAACACCTGAAGAACATTATGGATAAGGATCCACAGAAGATGTTGTCAGTCAACAAACACATGACCCTGCCTGTTGCCATCATGCGGTGCGGTTTAACCGCGCTGTTGGGGAGAGAGGCGTCTTTCAATGATCTGATGCACGTACTGGTAACTTCATCACCCGACGTCGTCAACAAACTCTTTGATGCAGCAACAAATTCATGTGACTTTGTGCCCACGGTACCATCCATAACATCCCCACCCTTTCGTGGTCAGTGAACCCCAATCCAACCCATTGTCTCCCTCTACACTATTTCCTCTTCTCCCCGCACTCTCCCCCCCTTCCCCAACCCCCGTTTGCCCAAACGTCTAACACAAGGCAACACCTTAGCCTCTAATTCATCTCTGGGGAAGCAGGGCAGGGGATGGGGGGAAGCAGGAAAGGGGATGGGGGGAAGCAGAGAAGGGGAGGGGGGGAAGCAGGGCAGGGGATGGGGGGGAGCAGCGCAGAGGACATGGGGGGAAACAGGGAAGGGGATGGGGGGTAGCAGGGCAGGGGATGGGGGGAAGCAGGGAGGGGGATGAGGGGAAGCAGGGAGGGGGATGAGGGGGAGCAAGGAGGGGGATGGGGGCGAGGCGGGAATCTGATGGGGGGAAGCAGGGAAGGGGATGGGGGGAAGTAGGCAAGGGGAGGGGGGGAAGCAGGGCAGGGGATGGGGGGAAGCATGAAAGGGGATGGGGGGAAGCAGGGAAGGGGAGGAGGGGAAGCAGGGCAGGGGAGGGGGGGAAGCAGGGCAGGGGACAAGGGGAAGGTGGTAAGGGGATGGGGGGAAGCAGGGAAGGGGAGGGGGGGAAGCCGGGAAGGAGATGGCGGGAAGCAGGGAAGGGGAGGGGGGGAAGCACGGCAGGGGGATGAGGGGGAGCAGGGAGGGGGATGGGGCCGAGGCGGGAATCTGATGGGGGGAAGCAGGGAAGGGGATGGGGGGAAGCAGGCAAGGGGAGGGGGGGGAGCAGGGCAGGGGATGAGGGGAAGCAGCGCAGGGGACATGGGGGGAAGCAGGGCAGGGGATGGGGGGAAGCAGGGAGGGGGATGAGGGGGAGCAGGGAGGGGGATGGGGGCGAGGCGGGAATCTGATGGGGGGAAGCAGGGAAGGGGATGGGGGGAAGCAGGCAAGGGGATGGGGGGAAGCAGGCAAGGGGAGGGGGGGAAGCAGGGCAGGGGATGGGGGGAAGCAGCGCAGGGGACATGGGGGGAAGCAGGGCATGGGATGGGGGGAAGCAGGAAAGGGGATGGGGGGAAGCAGAGAAGGGGAGGGGGGGAAGCAGGGCAGGGGATGGGGGGGTAGCAGCGCAGGGGACATGGGGGGAAGCAGGGAAGGGGATGGGGGGTAGCAGGGCAGGGGATGGGGGGAAGCAGGGAGGGGGATGAGGGGGAGCAGGGAGGGGGATGGGGGCGAGGCGGGAATCTGATGGGGGGAAGCAGGGAAGGGGATGGGGGGAAGCAGGGCAGGGGATGGGGGGAAGCAGGGCAGGGGATGGGGGGAAGCAGGACAGGGGAGGGGGGGATGCAGAAAACCGGATGGGGGGAAGCAGAGCTTGGGATAAGGGGAAAGAACGAAGAGGATGGGGGGACGCAGGGAGGGGGTTAGGGGAAGCAGGGCAGGGGATGGGGGTTCATGGGGCAGGGGACATGGGGAAGGTGGGAAGGGTACATGGGGAAGCAGGGAAGGAGAGGGGGGGATGGAGAGAACCGGATGGGGGGAAGCAGGGATTGGGATAAGGGGAAAGAATGAAGAGGATGGGGGGACATGGAGAAGGAGGGAAGGGGAGAGGGGGAAGCAGAAAACCGGATGGGGGGAAGCTATTGGGAAGGGAGGCGGGAGGGAAGGCGAAGGCGACGAGCAGTGGATGGCGGGGGTGGGGGGGGGGGGGTTCGGGGCTCCACGAGTGTGGAGGGGGCAGGGGTGAGAATGCGGATGTGAAGGGGAGTGATATCAACGAGGGAAGGGGCGGTGGCACAGGTGGGGGTAACGTGCCTGCAAGCGAGGGGGTAGGGGAGAGAACGCGACATCGTGCGGGGGTGATCGTGACGGGGGAGGGGGAATGGCCGCGTGGGGGAAGGGGAGTGAGATGGACGGGGACGGAGAGATAGCAGTGGGGAGGGAGATGGCTAGCGGTGGGCCTTAGGGAGAGCTAGCGAGGGGGAAAGGAGGAGATGGCGAAGGGGAAGGGGAGGGCGGGCGATTGGGGGGGGGGAGGGGTGGCACGAGTGTGGAGGGGGAGCGGGTGAGAATGCGACGGTGAAGGGCAGTGATATTGATGGGGGAAGGGGAATGGCCGCGAGGGGGAAGGGTAGTGTTGGGGACGGACGGGGAGTGATAGCAGTGGGGAAGGAGATGGCTAGCAGTGGGGAAAGGGAGAGATAGCTCAGGAGCAATCATCGTGCCTTGCAAAGGGGAAGGGGAAGGCGTGAGGTTGGGGGGGGGGGGGGGGGGGGGGGACGAGTGTGGAGGGGGGAGGGGAGAGAGGGCGACGTGGAAGGGGAGTGATAGCAGTGGGGGAGGAGAGAGCTAGCGGCGGGGGCAGGGGGAGCTATCGAGGGGGGAAGGAAGCGATAGCGAAGGAGCGGGATAGTGTTTGCGGAGGGGAAGGGGAGGGCGGCACTCGCGTGGAGGGGGAAAAGGAGAGAGTATGACGAGGAAGGGGCGTGCTGGTGACGTGGGAAGGGGAGGGCGCACAGGTGGGGGGAACGTGCACGCGAGCGAGGGGGAAGGGGCGAGAACGTGTCAGCGAGAGGGGGTGATCGTGACGGGGAATGGGGAATGGTCGCGTGAGGGGCAGGGGAGTGATAGGGACAGGGGAGGGGAGTGCTTGCAGTGGGGAAAGGGGGAGTTATCGATGGGGCAGGGCATTGATAGCCCTTTGAAAGGGGTGAGCGCGACGTGGAAGGGGAGTGGTTGGGAGGAGGGGGAAAGTGAACGCGACACGCTAGGGGAGTGTTAGCGTGGGGAAAGGGAGGGATGGAGACGGGGAAGGAGAGTGATCGCGAGGGGGCGGGGGCCGGCGCGCATGGGGGAAAACGGGGACGCTCGCGAGGGGGTAGGGGAGAGACAGCGACGGGGGAAGGGGAGTGATTGCGAGGGGACTGGGGAGTTGAGGCTGTGAGGAAGCGCGTAGGGGGACGGTGGGGAATAAGAGAGTGATCCCAGGGAGCGCGGTGTTGGCGCCAGTGGGGTTGCAGGCGCGAAATCGTGGAGGCTGATGCGCGGAACACTTTCGGGGGGGGGGGGGGGGGGGGGGGGGGGGGGGGGGGGGGGGATACGCGACCGCTAATACGGCGCGTTGTTGTACTCACGGGAGGTTTCGACGGCGGATCGTTCGGCATCGCATTTCCTTGAACCCGCCTCGTCCCCATTAGGCGCGTGGAGCGACATTGCTAATAATGAAGCGAGATTTCCGTCGAGCTTTTATACGTGCGAAAGAGTTGTATTCGGGAGGTGTAGAACTCTAATGACGATAGTGGCTGGGGCGGGTGTCTGCCGTAATGATAGTAGTATTGTGGAGGTGTGACTAGTGCTACTTTAGTAATCAGAAGTGATTCCCATCGCCCACGTGCGGGGGGGGTTCTGTTTGTCGCATGGGTGGGTCGCAGGGTGTGTTTTCGCTGACGAAACAGTGTTGTACCAGGTTGGGGTGTGCCCAGGTTAGGGCGTGTGGTTTGGTGTTGTCTGTACAGTGTTCTGGTTTCGTGCGAATGACCCTTCCTCTCGTGCTGAATTTCGCTGCTCGTGGACCAATCCCAGGTGCCCCCACCCAACCAAGTGTAATACGGAAGAAATCATGAGACGCGGGTTTTTAAGGGCAAAAAATTGGTCACCTCGCTGAATAGCTCATCCGACAGAGTTCCGGCGGCCCAGTTTGCCAGGGACGACGGACGAGTTCGACGGGCCCAGCACCGCCGAGGCGGGGAACTGGCGCGCGTGCCTGCCCGCCAGGCTGGCCCGGGGCTGGGCCGAGCGCACGCTCGCCGCCCCTGAACCCCCCTGCGTAATTGAACAGCACCCCACATTACCGGGTGGGGGCGGCGAACTCACTCCACCTCGCGCGAGGGGAAGTAACCCAAGGGCGAAGGCAGCCCTCGCCGTGGCCCTGCCCTCGACGACCTAGTAACCCTCTCGCGCTGCCCCTACGGGCAGGCGAGGGCCCGGCGAAATACTGATGCTCCCCTCGGGACCCTCGGCCAATTCGCGACCCGCTGGCGTGTGGACACGTGTCTGCCCAGGGACGACGCTGCATGCCAGGCCCTTGTGACGCTGCATGCCACAAGACCCCCACGCCTACCCACGTGAGCGGGCGTGATGGGGCCGATGTGGCCCGGCGTCCGACGAGCATGCGATTGGAGGAGGTTGCTGCTCATCGTGCCGAGCCACTTCGGCCTCCGGGCCGGTTTTGGCCACCGCCTTGGTCTGGGTCCGTCGTGCCTTATCTTCGTGGACGGAGTGACCGACGCCCCATTTTGCTCTTCTCATTTCGCCTTTCACATTTCTCACCTCTGCGCCTTCCTCTGTCCTGCTGCTGCTAGATAGATAGCCTGTAGTGTCGTGCCTTCGGTCGCCGGTAGTGTCGTGCCTTCGCAATCATGGAGTTGAATAGCGGCGCTGCTCACCCGACGCCGGGCGCCGCAACGCCGACGCCGTCCTCGGCGGACTTCCCCCTGTACTTCAACATGGGCCGTGGCCTCACCTTCTCTTTTGACGAGAAGGACTTCGCCGTGCTGCGCGCCACGAAAAAAGACTTCAACGAACCTTGCTTCGCACTCGCGCTCAAGTGAGTCCCTCCTTCAGTCAAGGCGGAACCCTTGTCCACTTTTGCTTTCCGTCGACTTAGTAGCTCTTTTTTAACACGCCGCCGCACCGACCTAGTAACTAATCCGGCGTGCGAGTTAGCGACGGTGTCCATGTCCATTTCCTGCCGACCTGGAAACTTCACTGTTCCGCCGACTTAGTTACTGCATGATATAGCTCAGCCGACGAATTCCCCCGGCCATTTTTTATCCCGACGACCTATAGGATGTTATTATTTGGAGCGCGTTACTAATTCGGCGTGCGAGTAAGCGACGACGTCCGTGTCTCTTTGTTCCGCTGACTTAGTAACTGCAGGCCGACTCAACGTTGCAGAATTAGTTACTACCGGTCGATAGGGTTTCGGTCAACGAAAGGTTTTCACGCCTAGGTTTGTCGTGAGCGCGTCCATGTCGGCGTTCAAGGCCGCTATCCTAACTACTTTCGCCGGCAACGAGTTCGCAATCCTGAACCGATGCCACATGTCCCCACGAGTTTGTTGACTGCAGGTACATGTGGATTCGCGAAGCTCCGATGGACTTGAAGCCGTGGATCATAGGGTGCAAGCGTCTTCGCGAGGCGATTAAGAAGAACGACCTCACCTGTTTTGAGTCGGTGTTCGACGCCGACATTGCCATGCTACCTATAATCACGACGTGAGAAAGTGCGATGTTGCGTTGTCGTTGACGTCATGTTGAACTTCGATGTTTTATATCGGCGTCACATGGTTCATGTGCAGGATCGGGCCGCTTCCCGGGGTCCACTGCAGCGTCGTCGTGGTTCTTCGGCCCAGCGACTTGCTGAAGGCCGTCGACGTTGACAGCGAGACCTCGTTCCGCCACCTGGACCCGAAGACTGCAAACCGGCTGCATTCGTCTGAGGCGCTCGCCGTGCTGAGGTAGGCATGCTTAAATTGGGAATGCTCTTTACCAGGTTACTGGTTTCTCGACGGCGTCCCCACTGACTCTTTCGTGCATTGCTGTTGCAGCTTTTTCCGGCGCTGTGTTTTGGCCGAGCTTGGAAGAAGTGACAGGACATGGAAGTGGGCGCCTCCCGCTGAGGAGGTCGTGGTGGCTCGACTCACCGGTTGCGACTGGCCCACGCGCGACGTGAGTTTCTGTCGACCTTGTAGCCGACTTTAATTGGTCGTCTAACTGTGCTTGCGCTGGTACACCCTCGGCTCACCTAGCCTGCCCTTGCAACGGTTGTACGCAGAGATTGCCGGAAATTGTGAAGAACGAACAGGTCGGCACCGGATTGCATGTTGTGAGCGCGTTCGGATGGGTGGTCAGAGAGCGCGGAGCCCTACTCAAGTCACGTGCACCGGCGAGCGCTGAGAACCCGATGGTTCAGGGGTTGAGGGCACTCAAATCGGCGCTAGTGGAATACGTCAAGAGATGCGTTGCTGAGAGGCGGTCGGCGCCGTCCAATCACCCTACTGGGCCAAGTACCTCCCCCCTCGACGACGACGGAATCGTAACTAAGACGGCGTCTCAAGCTGGCGTGTTTTGCCCGGCGTATTCCGGCGCGCACGACACTAGAACTAGCGGTCATGTTGGCGGCGGTGGCGAGGCCGACCTGGTAGGAGAAGAGGAGCAGATGGCAGGGTCTGTTGAGTCATCTACTGACTCAGAGTCAGAGTCGGGATCCGAGGAGGAGGAGGAGGATGAAGAGGAGGAGGAGCGTGCAGGGAAGATGGCTGTTGGTGCTGAGGCGGACACAGACGCCGACCGCGGTGCTGGTCGCGACCCGACGTCGACCGGCGGGACAGGCGCAACTGCAGCGTTGGCTGGGGACAAGCCTCGTAGGAAGGCGCCAGTGCATGGTCAGCCTGCGTCGACCACATCTTCAAAGTCGGCGTTTGCAGCCGCACTTGCTCACGTGAAGCGACTGGAAGAGGAGAACATGAAACTGAGGGACGAGAATGCGGGGCTGCGGTCGGATCTGGTTACCGAGAGGTGTCGGACGGAGGGGTTGTTGGCGACGGCGGTTGAGTGCCTCGCGGCTATCAAGTCGCTTACCGAACGCGTCGCCGCCGCCGAGCAGACTGCGGGGACACACATCTCCACAGCCACAGCAGCCATGACCGGCGTCTTCACCAAGGTGCTGGACGATCGGGTTGCTCTGGTCAAGGCGTGCAGCAGCATGGCGACGCCGTTGTTGGGGGAAATCACAAAGGGCTTGGACAAGCTGGCCGTCGCCCGCCGTGATGCCGACGTGTGGTTGGGGAACCACGTGACCAACGTGGGGGATGACGTTAAGGCGGTGTTGGCCGAATACATCCAGACCAAGTTAGCCTCAACTTCCACCAACATCGTCGGCGGCTTATCGCGCAGCATCGTGCCGCCGCCGCCCGGTCCATCCCCCGCGCTGCCTGAAGAAGTCATCAAAGCAATGAGGGATGACATTGTTCAGGTGGTAACCGCCGTCACGCAGCAGGCGCTGGGAACCGTCGGCTTCACGCTTCTGCCCAACGTGCTTGCTACAATGAGGCTGGGGCGGCGTGGTTCGTCCCCGTTGGCCGGCGACCCGGAGACCGCGCAAAGGCATAGGCCGGAAAAAAGGGCTGCCAGCGGAAGTGCAGCCGACGGCGACAACGCGGGAAATTCAAAGCGGAGTAAAGGTGCTGGTGTGGAGCGAGCAGTCGGCGGCGACGTTCCAGATCGTGCCCAGTCCGGATCTCCCGTCCTCGACATGCTGAAGAGAAAAGGGGCGACAACTCGGCTCCTTGGCCCGCATAGTAGAGGCGGAGCTGGCGGCAGCTCGGAGGGCAGGACTGCCGCCGAGGAGGGTGTGCGAGCCGGCGGGTCTTCCACTCACGGCGGTGGAAGGAAAGGTCTGGAGATTCCACGTCCTGGAGCAAGCGAGGTAGCACCACCGCCGTTCTGTCGTGGTAACGTCGCCGTTGAATCGGTTGAAGTGCAGGCCGACGCGGCGATAGGCGTTGATCGCGGGTCGCCATTCGATGTTGAGGCTCCGTCAATCGGCGATCAGACTCACCAGGCTCCTGTGGTCGGCGTAGGGGTGGACACGGGCGCCCTCGGCGCGGAGGATGATCCCGTGGCGAGAGCGTTGATGGAGGAGCTTCTTGCTTTTCAGGCGCCCTCGCAGCAGCAGCCCGTCACCATCGACAACGCCGCTGTCCCAACAACTCGTCGGGGGGCGCAACCTGTCGCCGGTACAGCACCAACAGCCCCGGTCTCGGCCGATGTCACCGCGCGTCACACGGCAGCACCATATGGTGATCCGCCGACAGGTGGGCCCGTCGCAGCGCCAAGCACGGGGCAAGACAACGCCGGTCAGACCCTCACGGACCCGGTCGCGGCCATGCTTCTGGCCGCGATCAACTCGTTTCAAGAGGCGGCACCTTCATCGCATCCGCCAACTACTGTCACCAGCGCTGCGCCGACTATGCAGCTCCCTGCCGCTGTTGCCACGCCGTCGGACCCAGTCTCGGACATGCTGATGGCCGAGGTCAACGCGCTTTCAGCAGGTGCACAATCCGCTCAACCGCAGACTCACGGCACGCGCATTGTGCCGACCACGGTGAACTTGGCGGAGCCCGTACACCAAGAAGCGGCAAACGAGACGGTTCCAACGGCGGTGCCAACGCATCACCAGGTCGGCGCGGCGTCTGGACAAGGTGATTGGGGCGCGGTGGCAGGAGACGATGGTGCGGGGGAGATCTCTCTCATCATCGAGGACGAGGATGTGGAATTGATACAAGCGGCGATAGAAGCAGACGAAGTTGCCGCACTTCGGTCTGTGGGAGGTACGTCGGGCATCAGTGGCGCGGAGGGTCGGCTTGCCGTTGTTACAGCGTCCACCCAGGCCGGGCCGACCGTGCAGCCGGCCCGTTTGGCTGTTCCGCCCATTCAGAGTCATCCTGCCCGCTTCATATAGGCGGATAGGGCCTTCCAGACCGGCCCGATCGGCGTCACTGGTTCTGACCAGGCTGGTCTGGCGGGAGAGTCCACTCGGCCCACCGCCGTTACAGTGGCTAGTCAGGCCGGCCAGGCCGGGCCTTCGGACAGGTCGGCGGGTGTCACTGTTGCGGTCCGGGCGGGTCAGGCGGGGACGTCCACTGCTCTGGCCGGTGGACCAGTGGGTGAACACGCCGACAAGGATGGACAGACCGATCGTGCGGCTGGAGTCGGCGAAAAAAAGAATAAACGGAAGGGTAAAGCCGCCGCGTCGCAGAAGGCCGTCGTTCCGAAAGATCGCAGGGGGCATGGTATTAGGCTGGACAGGACGAGCGGTGGCGGGTGGCAAGGCGAGGTAAACCTGGCTGGAAAGAGTCGCTACACGGGGAGATCGGACGACAGGATGGAAGTGGCGTACCTCAACGGCGTTGCGACGACCATCTTCGACGGACACGCCAGCCAAGTCCTGCTGGCCGAAATGACCGGCGTTAAAGCCGAAGAAATGACGCGGTGGAAGGCGGAGTGGGAGGAGGCAAAGGTGATGCCGAAGGGTATGTGGACGGTGATGTGGTCCCGCGGCGCCACCATGTTTCGTGCACGGTAAGAATCGTGGGACTCGATGTGATTTGAGCGGCGTGATTAGGTCTGATTGTGGGGTTTTACGCCGACTAACCACGTTCACGTTCCACGTCGTGCGTGACAGGTTCCAGAAAGTCCTCGCCGACTTCAAACAGAAGAAGTCATCAGGGCCCCCGCTGATGAAAGTGCTGAGGCCGGCGGTGTGGTTCGGCACTGGTTGGGAGCCGGCCAAGCGCAAGCAGCAGCTCAGCGACATCATCAACCGCGCTTGCTTGTGCGCGGCGTTTGGGCCAGTCGCGGCAGATGCCGTCCCCAAAACAAATGCAGACGCCAAGCGCATAGGCCAAGCCGTTGCCGCTTCATCCTGCGCCGTGTGGTGCTTCGCCGAGACCGCGGCCGAGGTCGGCAATGCGGCGGGTGAAGCGAAGGCGGCGGCACTGCTGTGTGAAGCGAGCACCGATTTTGCTGACACTTGTCACGACGTCATGGTTGCGGTGCTAGAAACGGCGGTTGCGAGACAACCCGTCCTGGGAGAGGTCTCGTGCAACGTCACCGACGCACTGCAGAAGGATGCTCTTCGGAAGGCGTGCAAGGGCTGTGACCCCACACCCGACGCCGAGATTATCGCGAGGGCGACTATCGAGACCCTCGCTTTCTGGGGGTCGTGCAACGCCGGCGGCCCCCTCCTCCGAGCACGCGGCATTCAAGTGCCGCTGGACAAGCAGATGGAGAAGGATATGGATAACAGGGGAAAGAAGGGGCAGAAGGGGAAGCACGCCGCGTAGATGGGTTTTGTTGTTGTGTCTGTCGTTGTGTTCTGGACCGTTGTCGCAATGTGTAGCAAGATTGTTGACTGATTGTGGGGTTTTGGTGGGCGCCGACTTTTATTGTGCACTTTTGCTGTGTTTCTAGCACGTAGGTTAATTTGCTGTTCATGAAACGCCCTCGTGTTTTCGGTTCTTTGCCAAATTCTCAACTGTTGGGAACATTGAATCCATAGTAAGTCGGAAACAAAAGTAACAATCGAGCTAAAAGAAAGTAGCTAAGCGGCGACAAAACATCAGCCCGGCTTCCGACGCTTGGACGTCTTCGTCGGCAGCGGCGGCGGTCTTCCAGCGGCCGCTTCGGCCGCCACAGCTTTCTGCTCTTCCCACGTGGTCGGGAACATGTCCTCGCCCCACGTGTGCGTCATGTATCCCGCCGCCACCAGTCCCCAAGCAACCGTCAGCTTGGGCTTTTCACCCTCAGAAAGCCCCTTGATGCCCAGGTTCCCCTCCGTGCGTATCGAAAGCGCGTCGGCGTCGATGATCTTGAGAGCATCGCAGAAGGTCACAATTCCCGACGCAGCGAGCTCGTCGAGTTTCTTGATGACGGCGGCGGTGTCGGCCTCTCCGTCTGACGAGCGGAAGCGGCGCACGGCCTCCATCGCCCTCCTCATTCGGCGCATCTCACCCTGTTTTGCGTTGGCCGACGACTTGCCCAGGAGGCTGTGCCGCCCGATGAAACCTGGCTCGTTGATCCTGTCGCAGAGACGCCGGCGGTCCGTGGTGGTGGGTCAGTTCCAGAAGCGCCAGGCCTCTGCCACAGTCTCGGCCCTTCTCCATGGGTCGACAACCAGGGCCTCGTAGTGAGCGTCGGCGTCCAACTGAGCTTGCTTAGCGGCCGCAGCTGCCTCCTCTTCCAGGGTCGTCGGCCTAGCAGCACGCGCCTCCTCGAGCTCCTTCTCCACCTTCATCTGCTTGAGCGTCGCTTTGTGCCTCTCGTAGGCCAGCGTCTCGTTCAGAAGGTCGACTTGAAATTCGGCGTCCAGGCGGGCTGAGATTTCCTGCGAACAGCAGCGGAGCGGGTTAGGAGTCAGGTGATGCAAGCACGCTTGCCGTCAAGTCACGCGGAGTTCATCTTGTGCTTACAGCTGGCTGGGTCGGGATCGGCGACCGGCGCTTGGCGATCGTCTCGGTGTCAATCTTCTCGATGTCCTTCGCCCACGCCTGAAAGTCGCGATCCCGACAAAGCCTCGAAGCCTGGACCTGAGGGTGCCACGGAGTGCAGACGAGTTTCACCGCGAGGTCCTCGACCGCAATGCGGCGTGCATCCAGCATGGTCTGGATAAAGTGCACCGCGGCCGTGTTCGCCTCAGGCCCTTGTGCGAGCTCTTCCGCCTGCATGAAATAGAGGAATGTCGGTGTGAACCAGTGAAGAGAGACGACAAGATGCATGAGGACGGCGTCGCTACACTCACCGCCCCCAACTGTTCCTCGACGCCGGGAAATATGTGCGCGGCGATGGTTTTTTCGAGGTCTGCGCTGGGAGGTAGCCTGCTGCGGCCCAGGAAGTAGTCGCTTCGGGCTCCGGAGTAGCCGGCCTTCCTCATCACCACCCCGACTGGAATTGAAGTGATGTAACTCCTCGTCATCTTGTCAATAGCCCAGTGACCCAATTCGGCTATCTCGGCGCGCGGCGTGCCTTGGTCAGCCAGCTCTTGTGCCCCGCCAGCGCGAGCGGCGTGCACGTTGTGCTTGATGAAAACCTTGTTGGCCGTCCACAGCTGCCGAGTGATTCGTTGCTGGCTCGACGACGGCAGCAAACCCTGATCCTTGTCGTAGCGGGCGAAGAAGAGATGCTTGTCGTACCAAAGCTCCGGTCGGCGTACGTCCAGCGGCGGAATTATGGGGACGCCGAAGATCTGGGGGACCTGGTCGTAGATGAAGTGCAGCCAGAGGATTGTATCGCCCACAGCACACTGTTCCGCCTCTAAGTGCCTCGCCGCGTAGCTGTGATGAAGACGGGCGTCCTTGCACGTCTTCGAGTTGCGCTGCGCAATGACCATGACCATTGGCCGGTTGTCAGGGTTCACCGACGACCCGCTAGCAAGGCGGTACAGAAAGATGTCGGCGAGCGTGATCTCGCGTGCGCTGGCACCGCGGAGCAGTGTGTGGTGCGATAGCAGGGTCATCATTCTCATAAGCATGAACTTCCACAGAGTCTAGGAAGGACCTGTTCCCCTCGGATTCCACGCCGTCGCCGACCAGTGCGGCAACACCTTGAACATGATTTTGCGGAACTGCTCGGTGGTGTAAGTGTCGCCGATGGTTCCGCGATGTCGGTCGACATATTTTCTGCGCAAGAGGAGAGTGCGAGGGTGATGATTGAGTGTGAGCGGCCTCGGTGAGCATTGGAGGGAATACTAGAGAGGACTGGCAAAGTCGGCGATGTTAAAACATCTTACTTGTTGTCGGCTTTGTTTTTTCCGCGAACCATGACGCGCACTTCCGTCCGGACGACCGAGATGTCCTGCATGATGTACAGCTCCTTCTCCTTGTACAGGGTCGCCTCTACCCTGGCCGCCATCTGAAGGGCCTTGATGCGGCCGAGTAGCATGTTGACCGTGCAAGGCTTGATCGGCTGCGTGCGCATGGCGGTGTTGCCCTCTTCGCTCCTCATTGCCTCGATGAGGGTCTCTCGCGCTCTGAACAAGACGTAAGCGCGAATTCGAGGCTCGTTGGTCCTTGGGCCGTGCAACCAGATGAACTGGCGCGGGGCGGTGTGCCAACGTTCGCCCAAATCATCGCCGATGTGCTTGCCGGTTTCGTCCTTGTCAGTGAGTATGGACCCCGGCTCCAGGTCGTCACCTTCTGACGGAAGAGCATCCACCGCCCACCGCTTGTAATCTAGTATCCACGATATGTACTGCCGCAGCGACGACCCTTCCTCGAGCGTCTCCGTGTGGCGAAGGGCATTGGCTGTCAGCACTTCGGGGTCGCTGTTCTTCAGATCCTCGACCACAAACTCAGCCGCCGTAAACTCTCCTCGCGGGATGCTCGCGTGCAGCCTATCCTCGGCTTCGTCCTCGGCCAACGCCGCCTCTATCTCTCTTCGATCCCTCTCGGCTCGAGTGAGCGGCCGACGTTGGCGTCTAGGTCCCGGGCCGGGCTGGGGTTCCTCCTCCTCATCGCTAGACGAGGAGTCCTCCTCCGGCTGGATAGGACGTCGCTTTTGGGGATCGCCTACAGGTGGCGGCGGAATGTCAGGGTCGGCGGGAATTGCAGCCAATGCATCTAGATCGTAAATCAGACGCAGCGTCACTGCCGGAGTGGTGGTGGGGCGGACGCCGGCCGGCGTTGTGGCGTCACCGGTCAGGTTCACCCGCGCCTGGGCTGCCAGCGGAACGTAGTCCGACATGTTGGCCTCGGCCGTACGTCCTAACAGCGCTTGTTGTCTACTGAGGGCCAGCCGGCGAGTTGGTCGGCGGGTCGGGCATAAAATGGCGGTTTTGGGTAACGGCGGCGGCGTACTGCTGCTGCGTTGTGTTCGCCTCTAGTGACCTAGTGACCCTCTGTATCTAAGCGGGCGGCGAGAGAAGCTTGCGCCAACTGCGCGGCGATGTCCCCCTCAGATGGGTTTGTTTCCGGCGGCGTTGCACCAGGCCGGTCGCCGACCACGCACAGCGCAACCCTAAACCAGTCTTGGCCTTTCTCCACGGATCTGGCCGATTGTGCTTCCCGTTTAAAACGGGCGACGAAACTGTGAAATCGGCTGCTACGACCAACGAAACCCAATGGCCCGATAATCGGTGTCACCTGCTGGTCGGCGTCAAACGCCGGAGCCGCGGAGTTCGCCGCAGAGCGTGTCCTGGTGGAGAAAAACTAAGTGTGAGAGCGCAGGCGTAAGAAGTGACGAAAGGAAGCGGGAGTAGGGAAAATGGCTAGTGGCAGCTTGGCTCCGGAGAGGTCATGGACGTGCGCGGCTCGGCACATGCCACCGTGCAGGCAAGGTTCTGTACACTTGGCATTCATGCCGCTGTCCACGCGAGGCGGCGTATTCTCCGACGTGACACGGCTCTCACATGGCCACTACAACGCCGCCGTGACTGTCCATGACGGTGTTTCGTAAGGCATGCCACGGCAGCAATACAAGGCGCGCCGGGGCTTGTGGCATTGGTCCAGAGTCCATTCACCGGTGATTGGCGTCACGAGATACTTTGACGCCGACTTTGCGGCCACCGCGGGTTCATCACGAGATACTTTGACGCCGACTTTGCGGACAGCTCGGGTTCATTTTTCCCGCGCAAATAGTCCTCCGATGTTCGACACTTGGACCCGGCATCGCCGTTCGATGTACGCCGCGTGTCCGGCGCCGACATTTATCCTGCCGTTCGATTTCTTCCACGTAGACTTACAGAATTACGCCGTGACACCGATTGACGCCGCGTGTCACGCACCGACATTCTGACGGCCTGCGCGTTCTTTCCCGCGCGACGCTTGAGGCGTGGTCGGGTGACGCGTGGACGCCAGTGTGGACGCCGACATTCGAGGGAGGTCGGACATGATCCACGTCATCCGTAACCCGCCGCGTGTCGTGCATCCGCGGTCTACGTGTCCTGCTGGCAACTCGGCACGCGTTGAGATATACCCTGTGGGTATTTCTCAGCCCACGGAAATGTCGACGGTCGTTCGGCGTTCCTTAGGGCTCCGTGCCCCAGTCTGCCATGCAGTTTCCGACGGTCGGACGGCGAGCTGAAATGGAACCCTGTCGGTTCTGTGCGGCGAAAACGGGCGGGGGAATTCGTCGGCTGAGCTATATCATGCTGAAAATCAGGGTCAGAATTTCAGCAGCTAAGGGCCTCAAAGTTCTGCCCCCAGGGATATCGACAGCCCTGGTGAGGTGGTGTGTGCTGTGCTTCCTCACAGCACAACTTCACGTCCATGACACGCACATCAGGAGGAAATGACAGAGCGCCGTGTTTTCAAATTTCCAATTCCAATGGGCAGTGGTTTTGACAGCGCATTGCTCTGCACTCGCGTCCAATACCTTGGGGCATATTCTTTCTCAATTTCCCCTTTTAAGTCCACAAATACAAGTTGGTTTTATACGGGGTATTAAAAATGTATTCGTCGAGTCCATGGCAAACACTCAGCTCGGGACAAGAAAAATATCACCCTCATGGATGGTATGCCACGAAGAGAGCATCAACCCTAAACACCATGAGGCAAGGTGTTTAGGGTTGATGCCTCCCAAATGGCTTGTCATCCGAGTGGGTTTTAGTTTTTCCACTGGCCTCTATACTGAGCCCAGGTACTGGATATTTGCCCTTCTATACGTTTAGTCATGAAAAACGGGAAACAGCAATATAAACTGACCGCGGGAATTGGGCGCGATCGCGGTGGGAGTCGCTGTCAAAGCCACTGCCGAAAGGAATCGAAAACGTGCAAACACGGCGGTCCGTCATTTCCTCCGCACATCAGACTTGAACTTCCAGAAAATTGGGGATGGGGAGCGGGGGCGCGTGGTCACTCCAATGCTGTCTGCTTCGGCTCGAAACTAGCAGCCGCAACGAGACAACAACTGCGTAACCTTCTTCCATATTTATTCTCATAGTTGCTGTCGATTGATGGCGATGCGACGTAGATAATTCTCCATAGCGCCACTAATCATAATGCGGACTGGGTATCCCCAGCTGTCGAAGTGGCTCCTTAGCGCCACTAACCCAGCGCTCGTTTTAATTCTCGCGCCATTTCGCCAAAAAAACCAGATTCGAGCCGCGCGCGCCATGGATTTCGACGAGTTTCACATCTTGCCCGTCGAGCACGCGAGCCAGGCCCATCGATGGCTCGCGGTCGCGTCGTGCAATCTCGTCACAGCCTCGCTCGTCTTCTTCCTCATTCGCCACCTACCCAAAGGCCTCCCTCGCCTCCTCGCCCTCTCCCCCATAATCCTCCTCAACATCGCCCTCCCCTGCGTTTTTTCCGCCACGAAACGCGGCGAGTGCATCGAGAAGGGCCTCGTGTTCTGGACCGTGTCGTGGCTCGGCAATTTCCGCCTGCTCGCTCTCGCGTGGAACCGCGGCTCGCTCATGGACCCGGGTTACTCCTCCAGCTTTCTTCAATTCCTCATCGCGCTATACATGCCCATGCGAAATCGCATTCGCGAAACGGCGAAAACCGCCGTCTTTTCGCCTGAAACCCCCAACAGATAGCAGTCCCGCCGCCACAAGCAGTCCGCATCCGAATCCTCGCCGCAGCTGCTTCTGCGAGGCACATTAAAAGCATTCCTCCTCTCTCTCACCATCCGAGCATACGCTTTCAACCTCCCCGCGCCGGCCGTGACGCTGCTGCACAGCGCGAACCTCTTCCTCTTCGTCACGCTCCTCTGCGAACTCGTCGCACGGGTCGTCGCCGCCGTCGCCCCGCGCTTCGCCGTGGAGCCGCACTTCCGTCGCCCGTACCTGGCGACGTCGCTGGGGTCGTTCTGGGCGCGCCGGTGGAACCTCGTGGTGAGCGGCAGCCTCAGAGAGACCGTCTTCGAACCCATCTTGGACTGGCTTGAAGGCCCTAGCTGGTCGGACGGAGAGCGGGCAGCTGAGAAGAGAGCGGGAGGGAAGGAGGGTAATTCTGAGTTTGGAAATGGGTATCCAGCAGCCAATGGGGGGCATGATGCGGTGAATGGTCGCGGCTGCGGGGTTTCTGATGGGTTAGAAGCGGTTGAGAAGATAAATGGCTGCAGTGAGAAAGTGAATGGTTACAGTGAGAAGATGAACAGCTGCAGTGAGAAGGTGAATGGTTATAGTGAGAAGATGAACGGCTGCAATGAGAAGGTGAATGGTTACAGTGAGAGGATCAACGGTTGCTACCAAAGGAGCAGTCGGAAGCAGGAAATGGGTTGTGTGAACGGGGCTGGAGAGAATCAGAAAGGGCTCACTGACAACTGTGGTGACACTTGTTGGTTACACAAGGCAAAAGCAACGAAGCAGAACGGATGCGCTGCACCTGCTGCCGCTGCTGGTACTACCGGTACTTCTCCAAACAGGCACAGACGCCATGTGAGCTTCCCCAGGGCAGCAGCAACAATAGCCTCGTTTGCTGTATCCGGAGTGATGCACGAGCTGGTGATTCTGTACATAGGCGGAGCCATGACAGGCGAGCAGATGGTGTTTTTCACCCTACATGGAGTACTGACTGTGGCAGAGGCATGGGTGAGGAAGGAGTGGGGGAGGAGAGAGCTGGTGCCGATACCTAAGGTGGTGGCAGGAGGGCTGGCTCTTGGGTTGCTGCTGTCCACAGGCCATGTGCTCTTCTTTGAACCGTACCAGCGGTTAGGTGTCATAGGGTGTGTTGTGGAGGGGCTTCAAGCCCACTTCTCGCAACTCATAAAGTTAACTTCATAAGGAAGACAATGCAAAAGCTGTTTTTTACAACCATGCATGCCAGACTTTTCACAGTACCGAACATTACAGTCTGCAAGAACCTCTCCCACCACGTTCCCAGTTGAATCTCTTCACTCCCTAGTCCTACCCGCTGCCCCCAACCCCGACCCAGCCCTAATGGCCAACTTCTCTGCTGCTACTGCTTGCGCCAGCCTCTGCAGATACCTGGGAAACAGCAAAACCCTAGTCATTTCGAAGCCCTAGTCACCAGAGTCGCAAACCTTGCTGCACATGGCGTTGGCTCCACACTTCATCTAAGCACAATTATTTATCTGCGACGCAAGTGACATGAGAGAGAAACGTTGGGCCCAGATGGGTTTGGGAATAGGAAAAGGAAGCAATGAGACAAAGGCCCTCTGAGCAACAAGACTGAGCTTGCGTTACGATGATTTTGTGAAGGAAACGAGCCATCATGAACGAAGCACTGCAAGTTGGCCTGAAATGATCCATTCAAGCACGGCATGGTAAGGTGGCATCGAGACGGACCGGGCAGGAGAAAAGACGGAAGGGGCAGGAGAAAGCAGAGCGCAAGAGGGGGTATCACAAGCACTGCAAGTTGAGTCATCACAAGCACTGCAGTGGGTGAAACCAAATTTTCATATGCCTGGCGGCAAGTGGCAAGGTGACACGATGAAAAGGAGGCACAGTACGCACCAGCGTCGCAGGAAAGAGAAGCAAATTGGGGGACCTCCAGCTTGCTGCGAGGACGGAAGGAACAGCACGTTCAGAGGAGATGTTGATAGGATACGTTAGAAACAAGTTAAGACGATGTTGATCATAAGGAGTCATGACCCGAGGCACGACAGTCACAACAGTGGCTCACAGCAATACCACCCCGCATCACCCACCCAGGGACATGCCGCATCACCCACCTGGGCCGGAGGAAGTTTTTCTTTAGATTGGGGACTTGCGGCTTCACGGTTTCGGCCACCGGCGCACCCTGGCAAGCACCCTTCGTGAAGAACCTGACCTTGCTGCACACCGCTTGCTGCTTCCCGTTTAAGCCGTTGCTCTGCCGCGGCGCTCCCAGCCACCACACTTCCACGCCCTGGCTCCCCTCGTTGAGAGACGCCTGGGCAGAAGGGTCAAGGGTGACGCACGCGGCTGGGGCGTCAAAGTTGACGAGGCGGTGAGCTTGCACCACGTTGACCTGCGTGGCCACCCGCACCAGCGCCTTCACTGGCCGGCCCATGCTGTGGGCATTCCCATTGTCCACAGCCATAGTAAATCTGGTCTTTATTTTGAGGCTCCTCCTCGCAGTCACAGCGCTGCTCGCGCCGCCGCCCACTTGCACGCGCGGCGTGTTCCGGCGATCCGCGCCGCGCTCGCCTGACGCCACGTGAGCCGTGGCGACCGCTGGACGCAGAGAGAGCAGACGGGCGAGAGAGAGCAGACGGGCGAGAGAGAGCAGACGGGCGAGAGGATTAGAGCGTGCACCTTTCCCGAAGCTTGAGAAAACGCGGCAGCCGAAACAGGGAGAGAATGTTATAAACGACTCACCGGAGGTGACGCCAAGGACAAGTAACGGACGTAGAAAAAAAAAGAAAAAAAAAAAAGAGACGTTTTGAGACGTTTTGAAACGTCTCAAAAAGCTGTCACGTCTCAAAACGAGAACCGACTCACCGCAGATGACGGCAAGGACGAGGAGCGGAAGCAGCGCGGGAGGGGAAGCGGCCATGATGACCAGCGGGTTCAAGCTACCACGTCAGCAGTGGGTGCACGCACAACCGAGTGACTGGAGCCTCCGGCGACAAGCGACAGGCTCTCGGGTGACGGGTAATATAGCCGATACAGGTATAGATAGTCGGTGGTATGACTGTTGGCGCTACTAGTACTAAGATATGGCAGAAGCGGCGGAAGCGTTGAGTCCATGGCTGATCTAGCCGGTGGCTTATAAACGAAATTCGGACGCTCCCAGTGGGAGAGCCCAGCACTCGAGGCTCGCAGTCCCATTAGGAGCGCTAGGAACGCGATCGCGCGTGGCTGGAACGGGTCACAGCGCAATCGTCGGCCTTCGCGCTGGAAATGGAGTTGGTGTTCAAAATGAAGCGAGAAATGCGGTGGCAGTGCGAACACCGAGGAACGTGTACATCAGTGCTGGAAATGGGGTTGGTGATCAGAGCGTGGTTGAACACGGTCAAGCGCTTGGGCGTGGTTTTGGTTGTTCACCGCATTAGACCATTGCGCACCAGGTTGAACCATTTTCTGACGAACCAGGAACAAAAACCCGCTCTCATCAGTGTGAGCAAACCTGGCTGATGAGCAGCGATGGGGCTTGGCTGCCCATAAAAGTCTTTTGACTGGGATGGGAGGGAGGGAATTCCGCTTTGGGCAGCCATTCTGTGCGAGTAGCGAATGTGTTCGAGCAATAGAACTGTGCGGGCAGATTCAAATCTGCAATAATGCAGCTTCTTGTTCTGTGATTGGCTTCCGCGACAACTCATAAGATTTTTTTTTTTTGAATTGAAGTATACATTAATGAGGCCAATGCACACAACAATAGCAGTCGTAACTGAGCGTGAGGGCAGACACCTTGAGCTGCCCAACAGGGTATCTAGGGCGGTAAGAAAACCCTTCTTGGACAACAACTCATAAGATCTGTATTTGCGACAAGAGACAGGTTACACTACGCACAAGCGAGCCAATGAAAACATTCTGCGAAAGAAGTGCGACATGTCCCAGCTCGCAAGTTCTGCTCACCACGATCACCATGGGAGGTTTTTTTTTCGGAAGGACGTTTTTATAAACATCTGAATATCGTATGGCGAATAAAGTAGCACACCTCGCGAGTCGCGCCTCTCGCTGCCTCACGACGGGTCCTTGTGAGCGGCCTCGCGCTGACAGATAAATAGCTATGACATCGGAGCCGTAGCAGCCGCTTCTTTCTGCGAACCGTCGCTCGTCTTGAGGCATGGTCGAACCATGCGTGTCAACGGAAGGCAGCGCGTCAGGAGAACAGACACCAAGTGTTTTTCCGCTGGACCCGACGGCTCCTCGCTCCCTGCAGCCGCAAAACCCGCCTCACACCCCGTTAGCGCCGCAAGAAATCGGGCAATCGCGGTGGAGCTTCGCCGTCGTCAACGTGTTCCTGTAGTGAGTGTCTCGCTAAGGAGTTGTTTTCTCTCGTAATACTACTATTAGCGATCGCTGTGTAGCGGCATGCCGCCACCGTCGATGGGTACACGCGACGGCGTGAACGCGACGGTGTGAATGCGACGCAATCAAAACGGCTACTTACTCAACCCAAAGTCATCGTTGAATCGCCTCATGGGCAGTCGGCCAAGGAAGTAGTAAACGCGCAGCCAGGCAGCCGAACGGTTCTGTAACGCCCCTTGCCCTTCCCTCCCCCCCCACCCCCCCGCCTCCCCACTTCCGCACACAAACCTTCGATACCCCCCTCCCTCTCGCCATACCCTCCCTCCTGCATCCCCCACCCCCCCAACCCTATCTGACATCCCCCATCTGCCTTCTCCCGTCCGCTTTCCCCGTCAACCCCATCCGCCTTCCCGCTTCCGCCTTCCTCCTGCCGCCCTTCCCCCATCCGCCTTCCCCCCCATCTGCCGCCCCCCATCCGCTTTCCCCCATCCGCTTTCCCCCATCCGCATTCCCCCATCCACATTCCCATCCGCGTTCCCCCATCCGCCTTCCTCCATCCGCCTTCCCCTATCCGTCTTCCCCCATCCACATCCCACATCCGCCTTCCCCCATCCGCCTTCCCCTATCCGCCTTCCCCCATTCATCCACATCCCCCCATCCGCGTTCCCCCATCCGCGTTCCCCCATCCGCGTTCCCCCATCCGCATTCCCCCATCTGCCTTCCCCCGTCCGGCTTCCCCTGTCCGCATTCCCCCACCCGTTTTCCCCCGTCCTCAAATCCCCCCATTCTCTCGCATTGGTAGCCAGGAACCGGTCCTTATGCAACGAGCTATGCAACGAGTTGCAGCGTAGCACGGTGCAAGTTGGTGCAGTGGAGGCAAGCCAACGTAAAGATCACCCTTCCCACTCCCCCATATCCTCAACTCCCCCCTCCCTCTCTCAGGACCCTCCCCCTATTCCCCCTCCTGGCTCCCCTGTTCCCGTTCTCCATACTTCCCTTCTCTCCCAGTGACAATCGCTCCAGGCGCCGCCCTCATGGAACCCTCATACAATGAGCGACAGTGCAACCCTTGTTCCCCCTCACCTCCTCCCTTCTCTCCCAGTGGCAATCGCTCCAAGCGCCACCCTCATGCAACGAGCAGGTGGTGCCTTGTAGAGCAGCCGAAGATCACCCTTCCCCGCCCCATACCTCCAACTCCCTCTCCCTCTACCTCTCCCGGGACCCTCCCTTGTTCCCCCTCTCCGCTTCCTTCTCTCGTAGTGACGATCGTGCTGCGGAGATAACTACTACAACGGGAGCTTGACTACGGGCTAGGCACGGGTGCTCGTGTGATCTCTGTGTTCGTTGGTCCTTAGTTGTTTTCCTAGTGCACACACAGCTTGCTAGTTCACGGGGAGAATTGGCAAGAGTTTCACTAGAGAAAGATGACAACAATGGTACAAAAAAGTTGGCATGGCAAGACTACATCAGAGCTAGCATTCAGGTCGGTCGACTGCCAGCGCAGCATGGTCGACCGCGTTCCAGCACGACTTGGTCGACCGCGCTCCAGCGGTGCAAAGCCGACGGCGTGTCAACACTGCAGGTTGACGGCGTGCCAACGTTGCTCCCACAGAACAGAAGCGCACCTACTTCGCAGGTGCTCGCAGATAATTGGCCGGCTAAGCCTCGTCACTTGCACAGCGCACACACCGTATCAACCTGGCGCTGATGACTGCATCTGATCAGCCACATCGACCTTGAGATACCACCACCGAGATCGGACTCGCCAACTTCGTCTGGGCGACCGGCGCACTCCTCCGCAGAACCTCGTCACCCAGGTAACCTGGTCGACCAAGCAACCACGTCGACCAGCTGCTCCTGTATGTGCCCGTCGACCTCCCAAGTCGACGACCACCCCAAGTCGACGTCACTCCTGGTCGACCAGCTCCACGTCAACTAGCACTCCTGGTCGACAAGCTCCATGTCGACCAGCGCAGTTGTCAGCCGACCGCCCAAGTCGGCTTCCCAAAGTCGGCGTCACCAAGTTGACGTCCTGCTACTCTACGCCCAACTGCTCGGCGTCCTGAGTCGAGGTCGACGTCGACCCCTCCTTCGTCGACCACCAGGTCAGGTCGACCAGCAGGTCTGGTCGACCAACCGCCAGGTCGACCAGCAGTCCTATCAGCCGACCACCCAAGTCGGCTGCCCCCAAGTTGGCGTCACCAAGTTGACGCCCTCCGAAGGTCGACTTCCCAGGTCGACCTCCCTGAAGTCGGTGCCACCGTGAAGTTGGCGCGCGTGCAGTGGTCCCCGTGCAGGTCGACCTCTTCGTCAACCAACTCTCTGTTGAAGTGAACGAACAGGAATGATTGAACTAACAGTGAAATCAGTACAAGTACCTAACCCTAGAATTATGTACCCCCTATAGGCTAACCCACTGTAGCCTAAAAAAATACAACACATATAATGTTTGACACACCCCCATAGGCGAAGTGGGGGAGAACTAGGGGTCACAAGACCAGTCAAGTAAAGCAAAGCAAAGCAAGCTCAGGGTGGATCACAAAGTCACCACACATTCCGAGCACAAGTTCAACGCCACAAGGCCAGTTCACATGCAGGAGTACATATATATATAAGGCTAGACAAGCAAGAGCAGGTATATATATATGTAACAGTACAAGCAAGGTCAAGAGGTGAGCAAGTAAGGCAAGACAGGCACAAGGCCCAGCTGGGTGCAGAAGCGCTGATGATCACAAGGCGCAAGTGCCTTGGTGAAGACATCAGCAGTGTTGGCCTCAGAGGCCACGTACGCAACCCGCAACTGACCACGCTGCTGTAGCTCACGAGCAAGGAAGTAGCGGAGAGCAATGTGCTTTGTCCTGTGCTCCAGTCTCTGCTCTCGACACAAGGCCAGCATGGCCTTGTTGTCTACGTACAGGACTGGAGGAGAACGAGGCGGCTCTCCAAGGTCGGTCAGCAGGTAGGTGAGCCAGCGAAGCTCCTGAGCAGCCATGGCCCCTGCGTAGATCTCAGCCTCACAGCTGGAGCCGAGAACAGAAGACGAGCGAGTAGCCCGCCACGAAACAGAGCCGGAACCAAGGCTGAAGGTGTAACCATGTGACGACCGCTGCGTAGCCTGGTCGTCAG